CCTGTCAGTTGTAAATTCACTTTCAATACCATCTCTATCTTGTCAGATAAAATTTGTTCTACATATGTCATTTCTTCAATAACATCTTTTGGACATAAAGGTAGTCCTTGATTTATGACCATTTGTTCAGCAACCATTCAAGGTTGCGACGGCGCTGAATGAATGGTGGTTATGACTGGTCCTTGGAGTTCCAGCCATCCCAGCACCCCCGCAGTCATGTGATTGTGATCTGGGTGCTTGGCAACCAGCTCCCACTTATGACCAGTTGCAGCGTCCCAAGATCATGTGATCGCCATTTGCAACCTTCCCTGCCGGCTTCCCCAGTGGGAAGCCAGTAGGAAAAGTTGCAAGTTGCTGGAGTAAGTCTCTCCCACCTGCGCACCCTCTCCCAGCCCTCTGCACTCGCGCCACGCTGGCTACTCACACACCACCACACACCCTACCCAAGCCTCACCACACATCCCCTGCCACTCATGCACCCCCATGCACCCTCCCCAAGCCTTGCCACACCTCTCTAGTGTTCAGTTTTTGAAATCATGAAATTGTTTATCTTTGTTATGTCTTGTAAAAGCTAAAACAGAATCTGTTTCCCATGATGTTTGTTCTTTATAATTAACTCCAAAATCTTATTGTAAAAGTTTCAATATTCCAATTTTATCTGGACCCTTAGTCCATTTATAACTTCTAAGTTTAAAATCTTATTAAGGTTTTTGCTGTTTATTTCAGATTCTTTAAATTCTTAAGCTTATGATTAAATTTTTTTTTCATTCAGGATTTAAGGCAGACTCACCCGGCGTTTTCAAACTTGTCATTCTGAAGGTCTCTAATAGCTTAGAAGTAGTTAATGAGCTATTTCTGAAAGTGATTAGAAAGCGAGGTTTGTGAACTTAATGTCCTTTAAAAGTCTCTGCCACGGTTGTGAGCAAGATGGCTAATCCCATCGTGTCCCAGCGCTCAAACCTGCAGAAAAACCACTGTCCTGCAGTTTCCTCGCAAGGAGCAGCTCTCCAGAGAACATGTGGGTGATCTCCCGTCCTCTTCTTATCCAGAGAAGTTTCAAGGAACCAGTCTATTCATCAGTTCCTTAGTCTTTGCCACGGTCATTGGCTCCGCTTTCGCAAAGCTGTCTTCAGTTCGCCATACCTCCCCTGGAAGTCTCTATAATGACATTAGTGGGATTTTGGACCACATACATCCTGTTGAGGGGTTCCCTCCCCTCCCCTCCCCTCCCCTCCCCTCCCGCTAAAGTTTATTATCTCTTGTCTTAGTGCTCTAATGAACATCAGAATTTCAAGATACTTTTGGTACCTTGTTTGAAAGAAAGAAGCCTTCTGTTCTTTTATTGTCCTAACAGGTTCCTGAAATTTGGGATCAAGTTGTCAGAAAGAACTCTGGAAAATGGCAAGCAATTGCTAAACACCAGGTAAACAATATGTTTAGCCCTTCAGAAGAGGAGTTGAAAAGCCAGGCTTACAGGTAAGACTCATTCAGCTTCTTCCTTTGTCAAAGACTGTAATCTTCCTCTGTCAAAGACTGTAATTGTCAAGATACATAGAACTAACCTGAAAGTTCACAATTTGAAAAATTAAAATTCCATTTTCCTAATTCAATCGAGTTTAGGAGTCAGTTGTTTAAATTTAATATCCATAGTAAAATTAGAAAATCTTCATCCACATACTAAGAATAATTTATAAAGAGGAATGTCATGCAGAAAGAAGCATTTATCAAATTCTTCTTGGAGTCTGTTGAACTTAAAATTTGCTACAAATCCTAAACTCAGGCTTTTTGAGAATTCAAGCAGGATTTTAGCCTGTACATTATCCTTATAAAGGCAGGCAAGAACAGGCAGGTACACAGAATCTTTGGAATATTATTTAGGCATAATGGTTCATGACAAGATTCTCCAAGAAAGGAATTTGCTTCTGTGTCACAAATTTGCTTGTCCTAAACAGGGCATGGCTCATTTTGTTTTGCCTAGTCTTTGGTTTTAGGGGTGAGCATCCCAAAATCCTGACAGGAGCCATGTCTGATTATTATTTTTCTAGGAGTACCTTAAACATACTGACCCTAGTTCAGTATTCTAAATGTAAAGAATGTTTTGATGGATGTTTTTTAGTGATATCTTTGTTTTGTAGTAATATGAATGGTGCATGGCTGTTTTTAAAAGTCAAAGTGGAGTATGTTCCAAAATCTTTGTCCTCAAGAGTACTGAATTCAGTTTCATTGGTATCAGTTCCTTTACATTCAATCATGTTTTGCCAAATATGAAATTAATGTGAGGGTTGCATTCCTATAGTAGATACCACTGAGTAATTGTTGCAACTATCTGGTTTCTGAAGGCTGCTTTCTTTGTTAAATCAGATGGGCAAAGACATATAACCTGGATGTAATGGAAGCCCTAATTCCAGATAAACCCAAGTGTGGGATGTGTGGCTCTGAGGCCACGAAACGCTGCTCCCGTTGTAGGAATGAATGGTATTGCAAACGGTAAGTTTAATACTAGTACTTTTCATATTATTCTAAATCCTTCACTAATCTTATGGTAACAGAGATACCTAGAAAACAAAAATAATACCAATACTAAAAATATTGTAAATACTATAAGACCGTAATACTAACTTTCATTTAAGAGAGCCTTGCTTTCATGATTCATTTGTTATAAACTTTACCTTGTACAAACTTCTCATTAACTTGAGCTCTGTAAATAAACATGCATATATGTATAGTGTAAAAATATTTTTATCCATTAACATTTTAATAAATTACTTCTAAAATAATTCTTATTTCCCAAGTTAAGACCATATTTTATGACATTGGCTTTGTTTGTGAAGCCAACAGAAAGTCAGACATACACTTTCTCCAGAATATAGTTCATAATTAATATTATCACTAATAATTAGGATATTTAGAACATTTTCTCTTCAATAGAAAGTAGACTCTCCTAACAGTGGAAATTATCCAGAATTGGGTTATTCTTTCTGGTTGCTGTAAGACAGAATCATGTTACTATTAAGCTTCCAGTAGAAAAAACCACACCAGTCTCAATCCTGCCTGTTATAGGAAATATGATTGAGATTCATTTTCCTACATTACCCAATTTATTTTCTATCTTAGGTTATCATCCAACAGCTCTATAACAGTAGGACATTGACTAACAGAACAATGACATTAAGGGGCTTGAATTATACCTCATCTGCTACAGAAGTGATCATGTATATTCAAGTGTATTCTTTGATTTCTATATATGCCATTCATGTCCACTTTAAAAGGAATTGTATCAACTAGCAGTATTGCAATCTGCTTCTTCATCTGGGTATTACCTTGCAACAGGAAGATTTGTTTTGACAGTGCTTAGTTATATTTCTCAAAAAGTTAGATGCCAAATATAGTTCCGATTTAGCAAATTATTTCTCATTAATTTCAGTTGGAATCTATTTTTCCTTGCAGTTGTCTCCAGTTCAGAATAAAATTGTACAAAGCATTTGAAAGAGGTGTTTCACACAATAAGTTAGTTTGAATGAAGCATCCCTCCTCAAAATATTAAAGCACAGCTGCTTCAAAGGCTGTTTGTGGTTGTCTGCATGTGTGTGGGCATGCACAACAACCTTACTTAAGTAACAGTTCCAATGGAAGGGGTTGTCTGCGCACATATGCGCAAATAGGGGACTGGGGGCTGCTTTTGAAGCAGTCACATAAGCCTTCCAGGGGATGGAGCTTTAACCTGCCTTGGTACTTGGTGCAAGCAAAGCAACCTTCCTCTAGCATGCTTTGCAAAGTGGCTCTTTTAAATGCATGCACAGCCCTATTTTTCAGTCAGATTTGATCATTTTTAATGTTTCAAGAGCCCAAAGCACTTCATAATATTATCTCTATCATCTTTTTCAACAACATGGTAAGGTAAGCCATTATTATCTGTGTATGATACTATACTTGCGGGACAAAAGACTGCAATCACTGACATCCATGTTTGTGATATTCTGTATTTGAACCATTTACTTCTTATAACAAACTCGTATTTTATCATATGAGAATATATGTTTTACCTATATAGGCTTAACATCCAAATCAACTGTACTGTTTATGAAATCACCTTTATGAAAAAAGGAAGTGCATGCTTTGACCCTCATGCAGATATTGTCAGTAGTATCTCATAGAAACACACGCACGCGTGCACACGCACACATATTCTGAATGTTGTTATTATTATTATTATTATAATTATCATAATCATTATCACTATTATTTTTTTTCATCTTTTACTCCTCTTTAGAGAGTGTCAAGTGCAGCACTGGCGAAAGCACAAGAAAGCTTGTAACTTGATTGCTGATACACTGAAGAAATTACAGGAAGAAGTACACGTGCAGGCAACATCCCTTAAGTAATTCTGATGGTCAGAAAAAAATATCTCATTTGACAAATATACAACATTCAGAATGTTAGAGTAAAAAAGGCCACCAGGCCTTTTAAAATTTTTGTATTTTATTAATTAATAGAATCCACAGAAAGTTTTTTTTAAACATTTGTTTTAACAAATCCCAGCCAAATACATCTTAGAAAAGAAGAAAATGATTCTCAAATTCTAGGAGATCAAGTCTTAGTAGTGAATCATTTCTAGGGTCATTTATCTCTCTTATGAATATCACTGCCATTTATGTCTCCTAGAATTTAGATGAGTGTAGGCTGGAATGCTCAAGCACTAGTGATTGAGAATCTGCTTCCAAATACATGAATGTCAAGTTCTGAATTTCCCAGGAATTCAGAAGAGTTAAGTTCTGGTATAAATGGAGATTGTTCTTTGTCATCTAAGATTCTTCAGCTTCTTCGGCCTATTTTGTATTTTGCCTAACACTGTGTACCATTCCCATGGCATATATACTTAACTAGTATTTCTGCAGCAGTGAATAACATCATAGTTAATGAAACTGACTTGTAAGACTTCTTCCATCTTCTTAAGAACAGAGATAGTCTACAACTCTCTTGAGAACAAAAGCTCATATCTTAATTTTAAAAGGGCCTTTTTGGTCCAGTGATATTGCTAACCTAGAAGACACAGATCTCCTCTTCTAAGCTGTTTGCATATATATTTCTGCACTGTTGGATACTGTCAAAATCAGATTTTGTTGTACTATTTTTCATTAGGAAAAGAATTTCAAGATACCAAGAAGCTTTTTCAGATTCAACCTACTTTCAGTACTGTGAAATCACATTGATAACACACATCTGGTCTGAAGAATTTAAATGTAATTGTGAAATTATTGGTATGTATGACCAGTAATTTCACAACGACATTACCGTTTCTAGATTAAGGACCTAATATTTTGGAAATTAATTTAGAAAATTCCCAGTCTTCTTGAAACTGATTGGACTTGCATGCATTGTGCATGAGTTATAAGCAGGCATATTGTAGTCTAATAGGCATATTTAAAGAAGAAAATATATTGCTGGAAGGGATGACTAGAACCTGAAGATGGGCAGGAATGTTTAATCCTTGCCCTTCTCAAATCACCATCCACTCATCCAGCATTTCCTCCTGTGCCACTTCAAATTAATATTTGTAGGGATTAGTTATATGTATTGGTGGGTAATAGATAGTTTAGCCTTAACTGATTCTAGTTATATCAGTGGAGCTTAAGTACAAGTAGTGTTCTCTGAACAGGCCTTGGTATTTGCAGATTGTTTGCATGCTTGGGTTGTAGAGTTAAGAAGGACCCAGAGGCAGCATTATCAACTGCACCATGGTTTCTGAATTACTCAAGTATTTGGTTTATGTTTTTCCCCACATCAGGAGAACCGAATATGAGAGAAGAGAAGGGGAAAGGATGTGGTAAATTAAGAATTTCAGTTTGCTGAGCTGTATGGTTTCACATTTGACAGTATAACACATGACATTTTCCAAGCTAGTGAGAAAGCTGACTCTGTTATCTAGTACTCATTTTGTTAATAAAAAATAAGTAATAATCTGCTATATATGAGTTTTTAGTAGTACTATATAATCAACAACCTCAGGCAAGACATTCCAGGAGATGGGATACAATTCTAAATGGAGAGTGTTTAATATTTATTCTTAATATTTCCAAGATCTTAGCAAACAACACATTCTAGTTTCTTTCTGAAAATCATAGCCCTCGAGTTTTTCTCTTCTAGCCAAAGTTGTGATTTTGAGAAAGGCAACTCTTATGTCTTAATATGTAGAATCCTCTTAAATTTGTATTCTGGAACTACATTTTCTCTGTATATTCCATGTATTTTCAATGCACTTGCTCTCCTCCCTGCCTCCATTATATAGTCCAAGATTTAAATGCCTTTAAAAAAAAAAATCTAAAATTTCAGTGATTTTGCGGAAAGATGGTAGCCCTATTATTTCTTTCTCAATCCCTCCTACCCTGCTTAAAGACAATGATAGATTCTTTAAATAAGCAATTTGACTTATTCCAGGCTGACTCTGTATGCTCAGTTTTATCTATTACAAAGCTGGGATAACAAACTACTGTTCAATAATGAATCAGCTCGAGGTCTGCAAATGATATAATCTATGTGAACAACTATTATTGTTTTCTGTCCGGAAATATCCTTTAAGTCTTACACATAATAACTCATGTTACAAATATTTTCCTTCCTTCATTTCAGTTTTACTTTTCCATAATATATTCTGATAACATGCCTTATTCCAGGAAAGCTGGGAACAAAAAATCAGAGGTATTGTCTTGTTAATAGGTTTTTAACCAATTCGCAGTGGTAGAAAACAGATGAACCGCACGCCACAAGAGGGGAAGATATTCCAGCAGTTAAGTTTATGCTGAAAAATGGTTAGGCCACCTGGCTTTAGGGTGAGCTTTAAAATGCTGCAACTTTCACAACAGAGCCTTGCTTATTACCTATTCCTGCAAAGCTCCTCCCATGTATAAAAAAACTCTAGTGGCAGAAGTTTTTCAAAGTGTAATTGCTTCTCATAGTAAGCACATGACACATGATGCAGTGTTGTATTTAGAACATGAGCTGAGGCAATAAGAGAATAAGAGATTCATGTTTGTTTTTTCACTGTTAATAAAAGTTTCTTACTGCAGTTGTGCACAGGTTCAAACTATTCTTTCATTTCTAGACATTCGATGTTGGTGTTATATTATTTATATCTTCCCTTCCTACTAAATTGAGAAGTCAAGGCAGCTAATGAAAATTAAAATTCAGGGGGAAAAAGTTTAAAGGTAATTAAAACTAAGACTACTGTAAAGCTAATAAATAAATGACTGGTTACAATATGTCTAATTGCTGCTCTAAAGGTAGAAACGAGTATTAAACACAGCATCCCATGAAGAAAACTGATACTATTGCATTTTGAAATTAATTGCTGGTTGTTGTTCCTTTCCTTGATGAAATACTGCTTTTCAGAGATAGCATAATACCATGAAATATTAGTTATGTGCTGTTATCTGATTCTCTTAAGTGACAGAATTCTGAGCATTTGAGGTCACAGTTCAAATGGTGAATATGATAAAGCTTTGCAGCTTTAGAGGCATTTTTCCCCAAAGTACTAGTAGTAATTGTTGTTGTTGTTGTTCTAAATTAAATAGAAGAACTTGGATAGATGGATAAGTGGAATGGATTTTTAATGTTTGCCCTCCAGAATGAAGAATAACTTTAACAGTGAATTCTCTTCCCATGGTTACTGAAACCAGAATGAAGCTTTTAACCCAGCTGTGTTGGCTGTTAAATCTCACGTATCCCTGTCCAAAGCCTGTGCTTCAGTATATAGTCCAACAAATCTAAAGAATATGAGGGTGGAGAAAAATGCTTTAAAACATGGCTTTAAAGGAATCAGTTCTGAAACCTATGAGTTAGACAGAGAAACTCAGCAAGGAGAAGTACAGAAGCTACTTCACTGAATAGAAATCTTTAGCTATACAAAAGCCCATGGCATAAATTTAATCATACTAACCTGGAAATACCAGCCCAGCCAAACCTAGCACAATTGCTACTTCCAAATGTTTAAAATAAAGAAAAGCTACATAATTGCTCAATCTATAAATGAAAAGGCTATTTCAAGTCAATGTCAGATTCCTTTTACATCTTTTGGTCTAATTGTACTTAGAGCAGTCCCTGAAATTATTTCCTCAGATACACTTTAACAGCGTAAGTTTTGAAAATGTATTTACCCTCATGAATATGTTGATCAGATTAAGGAGGCTGGAACTCAACAGTAGGGGAGAAACTATGAACTTTTCCTTTGTTCTATGCTCAAAAAGACGACTGGCTGGTATGTCTGTAAGGTCAGAAGTCTAAAGCTAACCATTATTATGAATAAGCCACTTTTATGACATCACACAATCATAATCAATGTATCCACTGAGCTATTTAAAAAGCTGTTATATTAAATATAGGAAAAGATGCAGGATTGGGAGGGAGCACATGGGAATCCTCTCTGCATCCTGGGATTACAAGCAGCTGCAGATTTAAGTTTCCAAGTTGGAAAAAGATAAATACCAACGATATTGATACAACTGCTTCTGAAATCTCTCTAAATTTAACAAGCTTCTTCCCAGGAAACAACAAAAATAGGACAATTTCCAGTTTTTTTCAAGAATATTTTGGATTTGTTCAAATGGGATTCTATTTCTTGCAAGAGTTCAAAATGCAGTGCCCTGGAGCAAGCGGAAGGGCCTGCAGCACTCATTCTAGCTTTGTTCTTTTTCCTCCTTTTGACTTGGAGATAATTTTAGAAAAAGAGTAAGCTTAGTAACATGAATCTATGGTAACCACCAACAACAATCTTAAGGATTTAGCCAAGATCTTCAGTAAGACTTTTGCCATGAATGCTGACAAGAGCTGTAATTAATAAAGATCAGCATGAGTGATTTCATCTATCAAAAACAGGCAACAAGGCTAAACTCTGTACTTAAAACAGAATAATGACAGATCCATTCTTTTTCCCAAGCTTGAGATTAAAATGGGAAGAGTCACTTTTGTAGTCATTCCAGACTTTTGTGTTGATGAGAAGCAAGAAGTCTGGAGAAGAGTTTAAGGCTCCTCACATACAATACTGGGTATCTGCTTGCAGCTTCTGAGTATCATAGTAAGCACTCATCATGATCATGGTCTTGCTTTTTCTGTGTGCTCACATTTATTACTCTGATCCAATTTGGGAAGGGGCTTAAAATTACTACATCCGTCTCAGTTTTTCCAGTTATACAACTGCATTACCAATACACCATCATACGAAGGGGAAAGGATGACTAAGTTTTCCTGCATTTTCAGTACACAAGGGGCAATAGCTTTCATATAGAAAAATGGGATGGTCTGTGTTTTCCCTCAAAAGGCAAATGGTGGAGTTTGACAGGAGAATGGGAAAGAAAGAGAAGATTCTTGAGCTTTAATTCATCCCTGCAAATGTGGCCCAAAACGTTATATTTCTTTTCCCCCAAAGGATTCTGAAATCAGGAGTCTTGTATGAGGATGGCATTGGAGAACTTTGGATGTTGAAAATTCTTCTTTGCCTGTTTAACTTTTATCATGGCAAATATGGGTTCAGGAACATGCTTTTACTGTAATAATGCCAAACGGCTTCCTAAAAATAGGCTGTATAGTACAGAATCCATTTTATCACATGGTATGTTGAATTAATTTACCTGATTCTAAAACAGAAGCAAACCTCTCATGCAGAAGTGTCCTTGTTAATCTTGTTTTCTGCTATTATAGCTGAGATCTCAAAAAAGTCAGTGGGATCAGACCTAGTCAGGAAACCTCAGGACTGTGACCTAGACTGAGAAATTGAGAAAACATCTCTGAAGAAGGCACTGTTACCAAGAAGGCACTGTTACCAAGAAAACTATGTGAATGTTTAATGAAGTCATTAAGACTTGAGTTTGATTCAAAGAAGAGTTTACCTTTAATGGGGAATGGGAAGGAAGTCAATAGGAAATCTTATCTGTATACACAGCAGAGACTCTTTTATAAAAGATTGAAGAGAGACTGGAGAATTATGCTCGCATGAAAGGAAAACACTTTTGGCAATTATTTTAAGCAAAGACAAGCTTTGTTTACAGGCTGGAAGTGCTAGGGACAGGAGCAAAGATGTTGATTTCTTGTGGTTTCTTACCTCAATAAAAAGCAAGCAGGCAAACCCTGTGATTGCAGGGAATCCACTGAGATTCATCACTTCACACATATGAGGCTGCTATCCACAGGACCTGTCCACAGATGTTGGAACTACAAGTTCCATGGTTTCCAGCTATGTAGCCAATTACTGGGCTAGCCGACAATTCTGAAAGTTGTAATCCCAAGTATTTGGAAGACCCCAGTTTAAGGAAGGCTGGTTCAGAGAGCCTTTGCACCTGGAAGAAGTGGAGTGCATACATGGAGCAATATTTCATCTACTCTGATCTTCTTGGGTGTTCCACACAAAGTAAGGATGGTGGCTGTCTAGCTAGCAACTTGGAGCCTAAAGTGCCAGTCCTAGGAGAAAGGTGGCTCCTGTCAGCTTAAGTCCAAATCAACAGTAGAGTTTTTTCACAGAATCTGCCTTGTGACAGTAAGTAGGCGCCACCCCTACTTCTCTCAGGGCTATGCTGCTGGTTCCCTCTACCCAGAGCTGACATCGGGCCCCACCCGTTGGAAGCGCCGCCGTGGTTCCCAGCTTCCACCCAGCAGCAGAAATGCAGAGGGCGAGCCAAAACCCAGCATAGTGAGCAGCAGAGAAAGGGCAGACAGGGCGGGATGAGCGGCGAAGTGCAGCTTTCAGCTTCCAACCAGCTTTCAGGAGGATGCAGCTCACGGACTAGCTGCGATCTAGCGGCACCGTTTTTGTTTTCCTTTGAAGACTTTTCCTCAAATTCAAAGCCACCCGCCCCCCTGCTAAGAGTTGCCGTGCTGTTCTGCATTACTCTTTCCTCCCCTCCGCCTCTACCCCACCCTCCTGCCTCGTCAAGGGGGAGTTGCCCCGCTGCTGAGACTGCCGGTCCCCTGGAACCTGCGCGGGGCCGATTCCTATGCGGCGCGGTCACTTCTTGTTCCGGAGGTGCCTCGCGGCGGGAAGTGAGGAGGGGGAGCGTCAGCCCCAAGGCTTCCCAGGCGAGGCGCCGCCCGCGTCTCCCTCCCCCCGTCCCACTGGTGGGGAAGAGGACATGAATGAAAGAGGAGGCGAGCTGAGGCTTTTCCCCGCTTGCTTGTGCGCAAAAAAGTTTTTGAGCAGCACTTTTAAAGACACAGCCTGAAGTAACGTGACCGCCTTCCTCCCAAGACTGCGCGCAGAAGAAGGCCGTTGCTGTAAAATCCAGAAAGCCACCCCGTTTGTTCAAGGGAAGAATGAGGTGGGAGAAGAAGAGGAAAAGGCTCCGCTGACTGAGCTCTGACAAAGACTCCCTGTGATTTTTCGGGCTGCTTCAAAACTGGGGAGGCAAGCGGAGAGCTGGACCGAAGTCCGTGCAGAAAGCCAAGGATTCCGACGACCTCTGAGGGGGAGGATGGGAACGCGATTCGGCCCCTGATGGGGACTGGACGCGGGTTCCCAAGCTCTTTCTTCTCTCCCGCCCTCAGCCCAGGAGGTAGCCATGAACCGTTCCGCGGACCAGGAGATGATTGAACTCAAGAACCTGGGGCTGGAGGAGCAGCTGGACCTGACCCGCGGCTCGCGAGGCGCGGCCGAACGCCCCGTCCGCTTAGAGCGCGCCAACGCCTTGAGGATCTCTCCCGGGAAAGTGCCCGAGATCTTGACCCGCGTTCGCCAGATCCGCCTTCTGGGCGGCCAGACCGATCCCAAGTTGACCGAGGAACTCGGCGAGGGACATCTCTTCAGATCCTGCACTCAGAGTCAACCCACCTGGTGCGATCTGTGCGGGGAGTTCATCTGGGGCGTCTACAAAAAGCGCCTCCGCTGCATCTGTGAGTACCGGCGCTTAACTACTCGCGGAGCGAGCGGCCTTTCCCCAGCGCCTGCTCGCAGAAGCTTCGGGGAGAAACGGAGCAGCGGGTAATGAATGCCCCGTGCAGGATGCAGAAGGTGGCCCATTAAGGCACCACTGGCAGCATAACAGTTTGGGGCGCGTTAGCACCGTGGCGCCCACTGCGTGCAGACCGCGCCAGGTTGTTACCTTGTTTCCGGCGGAATTCTTGTAACAACTGAGTAAGGCAGGCACAGATTCAGCAGGGGAAAAATTGGTTACCCCATAAAAGAAAGAAAGAAAGAAAGAAACCTCTTGCATTGAAAGTACAGCATAGGAGCTGTGCAAGAAAAACAAAATGGCAGACCCCCTGAAAGTGGTATTTTCAAGGTTTGCTTGAAAGCTGTGTGTTTTGGGGAAACGTGCATTTATTTCCTAAAGGACCGGTGCCCAGAGCAACTATTGAACAATATTGAAAATATTGAATATTGAATTGTAACTTGATACAATTAGATTTTTTTTTCTTTTCAATCTCTTTATCAATAGTGGCCATAGAAGTTGCCTATGTGCTCTGTGTGAGAGAGTACTCCCCCCCCCCACTAATTAGGGTGTGTGCAGATGTGTTGCTTTGTATGTCTGTGTTTGTAAGGGTCTAATGGGGGGGCCGTCAAGCACATTGCCTCTGTGCAGGTGTTTCTGCTCTCCCCTTGTGTTTTTGTGTATTTGTGCACTGGGAAGCACCGGATGGGCAGGATACCCTTTGCTGTAGGACCAGGAGAGAGAACCCGTGG